ATTACAATAGCTCAAAGAAGAAAAACAACTACGTTTGTGAAACAAAGTAATGGAAAGTAACATACCTAGTAACCGCGGTACGGAAGAGATAAATTGTAATAGAAAATATTGAGAATTAACAATAAATCAATAAACAGTTTGATGTTACTTTTATAAAATTGAATAATAACCTTCTCAAACAGTTTGACATATTCTGGCATGAATATAAAATTACACTGAATAAAAATCATGGAAATAAAACAAAATAGACTAAAACACTTAAGCACGTAACAACAAATTATAATATACAACTACATAGAATGAGACCAACGATCACATGAGATCAATAAGACATAGAGGAACATAGATTGACATACAAGATTACTTCTTTTACTGGCCCATAAATGTGACTGTTTTCAATAGATGCCGTCTTATTTTCGCCTTATGTAAGGTGTCGCTTAGTGTTTTTGAATAATGATGCAACCTCACTTTGAAATATTTCTTACATATTGCCTTCATCAAAAGAATGATGTGATTTTGTTCTGGCTCCTGTTCAAAACAATGTTCTCCGGGGAAAAAATTCACCTCAACACACTTTCTCATAACTGAAACTAACATTACTTCAACAAGGTTTTTTACACTGCTAATGTCTCCCCTTTGAATGTGGTATTTAACAACAGTGTCTGCTATCAAACAAAGTTTCACTACCCCTTCGGAGGGCTGCAGCAGTCCACCTCTGTCTTTGGCATGAATCAAACTAAGTTTGTTTGTCGCATTTGCCAGCAGTAGATCGATACAACTCTTGCAAATAATTTCCTTTCTTAATGATCTAACGACAAAGCCTCCAATGTATTCAACGATGTCGACATGCACATTTGAAGTGTTTCCCACAAGAGTTAGAAAAACTTCATCGCTTTCATCTTCATTGCTTATATCACAATCTTCTAGAGACCTCCATCCAGGAGTTGAGCAATTTATCTCTACTACTTCATTCCTCTTCTTTGTCAGAGGAAGAATGTACGTCCTATTTAAAATAAGAGCATTCCCAGTATTTGATTCCTGTAGTTCTCTGTGCAGCAGGATTCGTTTGAATGATCCTGTGAACTCTCTTGATGAAGGATTATTATTATAGCCGCCACGAGCACCCAAGGTACCCAAAAAGACGTTCTAAGTGGTCTTGACTCAATTTGTAAAGTGGCAAATAATTTAGCAAGGGAGTTTTACCTTCAACAGACTCGACATATTCACTATACATTGCCAGAGTACTTGTTATGCAAGTTATAAAGCCGAGAAATCCAGTTCTTCTTGGTGACGAAACTATTGCTTGAGTGGTTCCATACTTTAGGTTTGAAATGTACTCTTTTGCCTTAAGAAGGAAGTTACAGTGTTTCTTATAATTCCCTGGGTAGAGCGCTTGTTTACTGTATTTAGCTGCAATGTTTCTAGAATTCAAAATGTCAAATAGCATATCGAACGTCCTTAAGAATTCAATCGTACCAGAACAATTTTCGAACCCTTCGACTTTATTTACAAATAGGTATTCCAGTGAGTCAGCGACAGATGCACTTAGAAGTTGTGCAGCCAATTTTGTTTTCATCTTTTGTTTGGCATACATAACATGACTTGTTGTGATCTTGTTCCCGAGGCAAAGTCCTTCTTTTTGCTGGAGGTCATGTAGCTTCTGAATATGCTGCCATTCAATACGCCGATTTTCATTATCAAACAAAACTTTATAATCGCCAAGAGTATTCCTCACCAACTTGAGCATGTGGGAAGGATCAGGGAAAAAATAGACACATTCTTCCGTGTTAGGGTGGGGGAAGCAATGCATTAAATTATTAGCTTCAAAAGAACATCCTAATTTGTTGGCCATCGTTATATTGCACCCCGTTCCATCGCAAGTCAACGAAGCAACTTTGATTCCTGTTTCGTGTAGAAGGCAAAGGCATTGTTTTACCAAGCCACTGAGCTGTTCGCCTTTTGTCGATGCGACAAAAAAGTGCCCAAGTGGTACTTTCCAAGAAGAGTTAATGGCGACCAAGTGAAAAACGAGTGCTTCTGCAGCAACTGGGGCTGTGTCAACATCAATATCTGTGTCACCAACGTTTACGGTACCATGGAACCGGTTGCCATCCCATTCCAACTTTTTCCTGATGGCCATACAGTCAAAGATCAACGAGCAAACTGGCTGTTTGGGTGCATTACTAGCATGCTCTTTTAGCGCTCTGAATACCTCCTTAGAAAATCCAGGATCGGCGTTAACACTCGAATACCAACGTCCTAGAGTTTTGGGGTGGGGTAAAGCCGTGTTAAACGTTTTTCTAACAAACAAGTAGGCTTTTGGGGACAGAAAGTGCAATGTAATTGCGAAAGATTTAAGTCTGTCATCATAAACTTTCTTCAAATGAGGATTTTGTGTCTTTCCAATAGCTCTTTTAATTAAGCATTCGGAATTTTTAGAAAGCGACATTAAGAATGAACAGTCATCTGATGAAAAGTTTTGTTTACTTTTTAAAGACTCTAGTATGGCTTCCAGATTTGCCACCCTTTTAATCAACCTTCTCTTACTCTGCTGCAATGTCTTTACTTTTTTTTTGCTATCTAAGAGTCTTGACCTGGTCAATTCTAGCTGCTTTTTTAATTTCTTGGTTGGTGAGAAACTGGTACCAGATGTACTTGTACTTGCTTCAGGCACATATTTCCTTTTTAAAGGACGACGTTCTTTTACCTGCGTCTCCTCCGGAAAAGCTTTAAAAATTGCAGGTACTGCCCCTTCTCGAATACGCACATAACACAGTGAAGTACGGTCAATGTCTTCTTCCCGAAAATGTTCAGAGCATACCCTGCTATGCGATTTCGGCTGCCAATCTTTCCTTTTGATTGCGTTTATCCATTTTTGTTTAGTATCGTAATCTTTCGGAAATCTGGAAGAGAAAAAAAAACGTGATGTTGCGCTACTAAAATGGCAGATTCTTTAATATGGTGAGAATGCTTCAATCAATTATGTTACCAAAGAATTAACAGAATTATTGTAAACAAGAGTGTGGGTTAGTAAAAGTGCCAGACATCAGGGTATCGTTTAAAACAATCACAGGGTGATTTGAAAGTGGTGTTACTAAATTATAATCTCGAGCAGTTTGTAAATGGAACACCAATAACAGATATGGAAGTATACATGTTAGAGCCCTTTTTTTAGTTTAAAGATAAAGATTGTTCTGTTCATTTTGCATATTCATTATCGTGACAACTTTATGCTATTTTCAGAAAAACACTGCTATCCATAAATTAAAAACAGTGAACACACTAGAGCAGCAAATGAAAAATCACCATTAAAGTTTTAAAAAATGTCAGTAAGACATCTAACTTAACCATACTTATCGTGAATTCAGCCTCAATTTTCATTCAGCCATTCTATGTAATATTATACAACTTCATATAATAGTAAAGTCAAATATACTCACGAGTGATAAGTAATCCCCTCTATTTTCCCTTTGTTGAAACACCCGTAGGCAACACACGAAGTAGGCATGCTAGAGTTAAGAATAAAACATTGAAAACTATGATAAAATAAAATATTTAACCATAACACAACTCACAGCAACATTGACCACTGTAAGACCGTAATCAACTGGCGACGATCAAGGACATTAGGCTTAAGCTCGCGCTCGCCACGAGGGTGTGTGCGTGTCGCAGTAAACATTAGAATAAACGGTATAAACAGACGGGTCTCTTATCTACTCAGATAAACATGGTGTACATTCATCTGTTCATCGTTTTATTCTATCTATTTGTCTAAAAATGAATATTTTTTGCTCTATAATAAAAATGTATATGATAGTCAGAATATAAAAGAGTGTTGTTTTAAGAGTTTCAAAAAATATCATGTGACTTTGAAACTTCATACGCTGTAAACCAGACGTCAGAACTTTATCAAACTTTAATACAATATAGATACATATATTATTAATTAATTTGTAGGTTTTCAGAATTTTTGTAACGCCCAAAAAGTTTTTGTTGTTAATTATGTAAACTAACTTTTTCTAAGAAACGGTAAACGCTAGAAAAAAAATTAAAAGCGTATTTTGAAGGTCATTGTGTTAGTAATAGATATATTTATATCACAAAGGCGTATTGTCACGAATATCATTGATATTAACTAATTTGCGCTCGCTAGTAGGGGTCATCACAGCCGGCAGCCGCCATCTTGTTGTAGATTAGTGAAAAATACTGGCTTCACGTCGCGGCCAACATGCTCCATCTATTGGCCTTATGTGATCGTTGAGATCACGTGACTGCCAGCGGAGGGTAGGCAGCACTCAAAAGTTAAACCTGTTCAACTTCTGATTGTGGCTAGTAAACACTATCGCGCTGGCATTCACCGGCCGCTGGTTCTGGGTCAGACTAGGCTGCTTGCTGGCAATATTCAGCAATATTACCAGCGGCTGGTTAGAAGCGGTTACTAAACAGCCTAGTGTGACCGCGGCTTTAGGTAGGAGTTCGTTCGCTGCGCTCACTTGCCTTAAGGTTAGCTCGTTCGCTACGCTAACTCGCCTCCAGGTTGAAGTTCGTTCGCTATGCTCACTCACCTTTTGGTTTCAAATTAGCTGTTGTCATAAATGTAAAAGAAATAATAGTGCTGCACCCTGTTGGTAATCCTTGTAACTTTAATGCTATTGAACATCATAGAACAGAACCAACTTGTTTAATTGAAACAGCTGTTAAGATTCATTAATTCCATTTCTCATAAGGTTAACATGGGAAACTCCAGAGACACTGGGGCGGAGCCGATTGGACGGATCACGAAATTGATGGTGTATAAACCTATTCCAGGAAATTCTACACGTATGTACCAAGTTTTGTGGCAATCGGTTCAGCGGTGTCTGAGTTTATCACTGCCAAACAAATATACAAACATCCTCTTTTATACTTAATACTTATAGATTATAAAGCCAAATGATACCCTTAAACTAAAAAGGGATTTATAGTCTTAGCTGAAGCAATAAGGTTTGTTTGTTTTGTAGATGCATGAACATTACAAGTTAGAGATGGCAAACTACCTAGACACACTTCCTGAGGCGAAAAGAATTGAAGAGGTAGCCAAACTACAGCCTAAAAAGAAGAGAATAGCTAAAGTGCGACAGAAAGTTGCTAAAAAGGTAAGTAGATGGTGCTGTTTAACCATTCCCATGGTATGAAGTTTGAACAGTGTACCCTTCAATTCTTGTACTTGCAGTGATATCAGATAAAGTAGAGAGTCGAAAATCCAAACGTCAAAAATCTGAAACGTCAAAAATCTTAACTGCTCCTGAGGGTTTGAAAATATTGGAAATTAGCACGGAGACAACAGATGTTTTACAATTTCACGGGCCAAAGAGTCAGCGCCTGGCAGGGAAATGAGTGAATGTGCCGAGCCAGTCTGTGTTTTGTTCGATTCCAATGTATAAAGTCAAAGTTTACATATTTTTTCAAGAAACGAATTACAGTAATGTAACAAAAATACCTAAGCACAAAACTCATTGTTTTTATTTCATTCACTGTATCCTAGAACTGTTATTTTTATTACTGAAGGTTTAATTATGTGTCTATTAGGCATTTCTAGGCTATGTTTGAAAATCCGAACAAATCAGTAATGTGAACTACCTACCAATTGGTTCGGATTTTTGTCTCACTACTGTAAAACCCTAAATCTAGAATAAGGAAGAGACCAAATTAATATAGTACTAGTGGCGTGTAGGGACATAAGTCCCCAAAATGCTCAATAATATAAAACAAATTATTCTAATATTTAAACAAACAAAGAAATATATTATCTATGTGTCAGAATAGATATCCCTGTATATATGCCATATCTTTTGTGTAAAAAACAGTTTGTTGTTTGTCTTTGTTGATGTTATTTTCAATAAATCATTCGAATCACTACATAGATTTAACTCTGCTGAAGCAAGGCCACACTATAAAGGCAGCAAACATATAATTGGTTGTGAATAAATACTGGTTTATTAAGGTAGCTCGTTAATTATTTATTCAATGTGGTTATTTCTTGTTAAACACAAGTTTGAAAAGTTTCACGGTAAAATTATATATTTCCATATTCTATATAACGTAACTAAAAAGTCTTAATTATTATAGGTAACGTTATCCCTGGTTTTATATAGTACATTGCTGGACTTACTGGCAAATAAGTATAATCCAAATGTTAACATTGCGTACTGGCTTGATGATAAATCACGATCAGCTGTATGAAGTAAACAAAATTAGCAGAAAATGGCTTCTAATGCTATTCTTATGGATAACATTTTACGTTATATCACGTTTTCTGGTAACTTTATGGAAACTCTGCTATTTTTCCCGAGTCCCTGGGGTCAAGATCTTTAATTTAAGACCCCTCCCACTTTTCTGCGACTTACCAGACGTCCAAAATTTTCTGGTAAAGATTTTGTCTTACAGAATTATATATAAGGATTATAGGCCCTAGTATTGAATCTATTTAAATATTATTAATATGAGTATAGTTGACAACCGGCAAAATTTAAAATATTTCAAAAATTGTTTTACAACCATATTGCAACAGTTTTACAACAATTTAAAAACTGTTTTGACAATAATTTTAAAATTGACTTTGCAACAAGTTGAAAATTGTTTTCACATAGGACCAGCCATCCCATGGGCATATCCTAAACACGAAATGATAACGATTTTGTGTGAAATGCATATATATCAGTTGAGCATTTTGATTAAATAGTTCATAAAAACAAATTTTGAGAAAAAACTAGAATCAAAATTATCTTCCCAAGCGGGTCTTGAAGCCCACAATACAAGAAATAAAGGACGTTTTAAAAACATTCAAAAATGGCAAAGCTCCTGGTGAAGATGCGATCCCAATAGAATTAATGAAAAATGGAACCGAAGAACTTTTCATCCATCTACACAAACTGATTCTACAAGTATGGAAAAGCGAGAAAATGCCAAAAGAGTGGACTGAAGCAGTAATAGTCCCACTGCACAAAAAAGGGGACAAACTAGAATGCAAAAATTATAGAGGTATATCCTACTAATATTATGAATGAGAAAGTTTAGATGTATGGATGTATGTTTGTGACAAGTGAACGTGAAAAATACTGGTCGGATTGGGCTGAAATTTGGCATGGTGATAGCTCACATTCCCGATTAACATATAGGCATATTTTTATTTCAAAAATCCTTTCGGGCTCCGCCCCAGTGGCTCTGGAGTTTCCCATGTTAACCTTATGAGAAATGGAATTATTGAATCTTAACAGCTGTTTCAATTAAACAAGTTGGTTATGTTCTGTGATGTTCAATAGCATTAAAGTTACAAGGATTACCAACAGGGTGCAGCACTATTATTTCTTTTACATTTATGACAACAGCTAATTTGCAACCAAAAGGTGAGTGAGCGTAGCGAACGAACTTCAACCTGGAGGCGAGTTAGCGTAGCGAACGAGCTAACCTGAAGGCAAGTGAGCGTAGCGAACAAACTTCAACCAGGACGTGATTGAGCCATGCGAACGAGATAATCTTGAAAATGAAGAAGTTAAACGGGGCAAAGCCCGCGGGTTACAGCTAGTCCCTTATAAATACAAAATACAAAATACTATCTAAACTTATCTTAAACAGACTTGGAGACCACCAAGCAGGTTTTATGAAAGGGAGATCAACAACAGACTAAATATTTATTCTAAAACAAATAACCTCAAAGTATTGGGAATACAACAAAGATATATATGTAATGTTTGTTGATTTTAGCAAAGCTTACGACTCAATAAACAGACATAAACTGTGGAAGATGATGAAAAAGTATGGATTACCTAATAAAATTCAGTTGGAAAAAATGTGTATAAACAAATCCAAAGGGAAAGTAAAAATAGGGAAAGAATATACAGATACATTTAATATAAATACCGGAGTGAGACAAGGTGATGGTCTATCGCCATTATTATTCAATATAGCACTAGAAGAAGCTCTCAAGAAAACAAGAAATAGTGAAGGAGGGGCAAGACTTACTGATAAAATAAACCTTCTAGCATTCGCAGATGATGTAGCCATTGTAGCTGAAAACAAAAATACAGTAAAACGCCAATTATCCGAATTAATTGGGACCGGGGTCGATTCGGATAATCAAAAATTCGGATAATCAGACACAGAATGGTAATAAAGAAAAAGAAAGTGTTACACAACGAATGAACTTTATTGAGTGGATAACTAAGACATAATAGAGATGTTAAATTGAATTTAAGTACAAGTAGAGAAACAAATGCTGATATTTATAAAAACAAAACTACAGTACAATATAAAGTTCTTTACAAAAAGTTCTTTTACAACGCTTACTTGTACATCTCGATCAGCGTAAGTTGCCGTGACCTTGTAGCTCGTTTCCGCGCAGCTAAATCACGCACTCTGGTTGCCGCTCCATCCATTTGAGGGCGTTGTCAAAGCACGTAAACGCCTCACTATGTGATGGTACACTTTCGTCTCCTGCATCTTCGTCTCCCCCGGTCTCATTGCTTTCATCTCCATTGTCCTGTTCATCCATGACACTCACAGCGATTTCATCATCAGTCATTATCTGGTATCCTTGATCGTTCCTATCACATTCCAACCACTCTTCCATATCATCGACATCACACTCCGAACAACCCGCAATCTCCTTAGCCATGTTTACTAACTCCCCAACTGACGGCAATTCCGGTTCGTCTTCATCAACGCCAGCAGCTTCAGCAGTTAGTTCTCGTTCTTTAGCTTGCTTTTCAAACTCGAGTTGCTCTTTTGTCGACGTACCGTTTATTTTGTTCCACGCCCGTTTAAGTGAAACACTTTTAACCATGTTCCAGGAGTCTGCAATCATGTAGCAACAGTCTTTTAAGTTTATTTTTTTGTACGAATCCAAAACTTGTTCCTCGTCGTTCTCTTCAGCTAGGAGCAATTTACGAAGCATCTGTTGTCTGTAAAGACGTTTTGTGCACTCAATCACACCCTGATCCATGGGCTGGAGCAGACTTGTCACGTTAGGAGGTAAAAAGAGACACTTAAATCTCCCCTTTTCTCTCACGAGAAGATCTAGTGAAGGATGCGTTGGCGCATTGTCCATGATAAGTAGAACCTTTCCCTTTTTTCCTGTTTCTTGTTTAAATTTTTTCACTTGAGGAATAAAGGTTTTGTCGTACCACTCCAAAAAAATAGTGCTCTCCATCCAAGCATTCTTCTGGTTGGTGTAAGTCACTGGTAAGTTGGCTACGTTCTTAAAAGCCCGTGGCTTCTTTGCTTTGCCGATCAATAATAAAAGAAGGCGATGGGTACCAGTAGAGTTAGCCCAGACCATTATAGTGACGCGATCTTTACTGACTTTGTGTCCGGGAGCACTTTGTTCTCTTTTAGATGCTAGGGTTTTTCTTGGCAAAGCTTTCCAATTCAAACCAGTCTTGTCAGCATTATACACAAGATCAGGGTCGTACATTTCTGTTTCTTTTTTAAATGTCTCCATAAATTTATTAGCAGCTTCACTATCAGCAGAAAGTTTTTCACCGGCAATATCCAATTCTCGAATGCCGTGCCGATTCTTGAAATTGCGTATCCATCCCGTGCTTGCCTTAAAATCAGCTACAACCATTTTTTCACTGAACATTCGCGCCTTTTCACACAAAATAGGTCCTGAAATCGGTTGTCCAATAGATCTTTGTTGCAAAAACCAAGTAAAAACTGCATTTTCCAGCTGTTCATCTTTAGCCTTTTTCATCACTTTTCGTGACGAACATCCATCATCACTTTCCAACGTAGTCACAAAACTTAAAATCTTTTCACTGTTATTTTTTATGTCAGTAATCGTAGCCGCCCCGACACCAAATCTCTCCGCCAATACCTTTCCCGCCACTCCTTTTTTTAGTTGGTTGATTATTTCCACTTTGTTCTTTAGCGATAGGACAACACGTTTTCGTTTTGCACTCATTTTACTTGGTTATTTAACACACGTAACCATACAGTAATGAAGATCACAAGTTTGACAATCTCACAACTCTATAAAAAATCAGCGATCCGCACAATAGAAGAGGGAGGAGCTAACTGACCTAAAATCCGCCAAAAATCGATAGTTCGCGTGTCATTGGGTAGGGGGAGTGGCTGCAGGTGCATGCGCTGTACATTC